GTCAGGGCATAACGGGCACTACCCAGTGCTGTTGCAGCCGCGATTTAAATTAGAATCCTCCCCTCCCCCATTTTTGATGGGCATAGGTGAAGACGAACAGGCATTGGTTGCAGGAATATTACCTTTTGGAAAGTGTATGAGCCGAGCCGCGCCGCACGTACGTCAGTGCTCTCATAATTCAAAACTCATCCGGCGTGCGCTGTCGGCCCTAGTTCGATATCATTTTTGTGGCGTTACATGTCCATTATATGTCGATGGTACCACCTGTTATCTAACATCTGTGCGGGACAGGCGCATAACCAGAATTGTTATGCGCCTGTCCAGGGGGGGGGGGGGGGGTGCATGCCGGATCGGACCAGATTTATGCGAAATCGCCCGGTACGTAGTGCAAACCTCTTCGGCTCAGGGAGGGGGGCAAAGCCCTTTGCCCTGGTGCCGGAAAGAGCCTGTTTGGTGGATGTGGTCCTACCCACAGCTCACGCAGCCTTAGGTAGACGACTCTCGTATGGGGAGGCCAGCACTGCCCTCGGACCCGCAGAAACCGTCGGACTGCTGGAGCCGGGCTGTCAGAATTGGTTGCTCGACCGCGTGGGTTTGTTTTAAAACTAGACGAAGATGCCAGTGTATTGCGCGCATGCTTTTGCGTGATAACCTGTTAGCTTGAAGCTTTTTAACTCAACTTTCACCATTCCAGGTCGAGGAATCTGGCGAGAAAAAGAAAAAGAAGAAGAAGAAGGACAAAAAGTCCGAAGAAGACTGAGAAGAAAGAATCGTTTCAGCTCGTAAAGCTGGTGACATGTACATTTTGCGAGCGGTGCTGAACGGCGTGTAAAGAACTGTTTTTGGGACGACTATTTTAGCCGTTTTAAGACGAGTATTTTTGGTGCCGCAATGACCAGGGGAGTGCCTCTGCCGGCGCTGGTCGGGAAGATTCCACTGCCGTCTCGCCGGGGCGATGACTGGGTGAAAGGAGAGCGTGTGATTGTTGCGCCATCGCCATCTTGCGAGAACAACATCATTACCATGCTGACACTTGTTTTCTTGGGGAAAGTGCGAAAAGAATGGCTGGGGAATGAATTGTGTGGCGAAAATTGCCGGAATGCATGGACGGGTATGCACTATCAGTCAGTTTTGCTTACGAGCGCAACGCTAAAACACTGCAGTAAAGATGGCCACGAAAATATCGGTTTGAGCTCAGTTTGATGGCTTCGACGGCTGTCGTGGGCGGAGCGGAGTGGGTTTCTGGGGGCCTACCCGATCATAACGATCTATCCTTCGCGTGGCACGACCAACGCAAACCAGTGAAAAAATCAGCAGGGACCCATAGTTCTGAGCGAATCTGATTATCGCTCGTCGATGGTTCTGTGAAGCTCGGCCCATGGGGCGGCACGGCGGCCAGGAGGGGGCTGGAACAGACGGTGGGCTATGGTGTGAACCTTGCATTCGCAGCGAAAAGGCGCCTTGCTGCAGCTAGCAGCCTCAGCATTCCCTGTACATCTTTCGGAATGGATCGTGTAGCGCGACTCCACACCGGTGCAGCCATCGAAAACAGGCCGGCTAAATCTTGCTGGATAAGCTCACGTCACTAGTGGGTGCTCTGCTCCCATGGCAGACGGTTGCTCAAATTAGCGCATGCATGGCATTCCATAGTTCGTTGACCCCAGATTGTAGGTCTTTTCAAAACCGCATGTGGAGGGAGAACCTCAGCTTCTGAAAATATACCTTCTTCATCGAGTTTATCCGCAGCGTGTATTTACACACAGCCAACCAGGGAATACAAGCACGGCGATGCCCGACGAGCGGACTGATTTCACATTCCAGTCCGCCTACGACATGCAAGCCAGATCTGCGGCGGTCTGTGCGCGTTCATGATAGGTGCCCTCGCGCTGTGCAATGCCCCGTCCTCCGAGCGGGCGCGCACAACAGGCACGCCGCCCGTGTCCCGCCTACGCAATATCACGTGCTGGGCCTCGCACCAACGTCGCGGCGCTCTGGCAGAGCTGGCCGCTAGGTCGCCAGCTCTACGATAGTAGGTAGTACCTGAAACACAAACGACACATGAATATCAAGCAAGCCACACGAGAAGTCGAGCACGGAAAAAGCTTGGGACGCACTTGGCTGTGAATGTTAACAAACACACGAAGCGTGTGCCATTTATCCGGTTTGGGCTCTGGATCACCACCTGTCTCACGCCGAGGCGCACACGAGCTGTTGCATGGCAGCCGAGCACGCGTTTGCAATGATACCAGCGTCTGGTGAGACCGCCAATCGGTTGGCGGTCAGCACCCGCACGCGAGTGATGGCCGCTAGGTGGCGAGGTCTGCACCACCCCGTGCGATTCAGACACCAAATGACAGTTTCTGAACACATGGCGTTCACATGGCAAAGGGAACAGCCGCAGATGGTTACCAGCGTCGTACTACGAGAACCTTGTCGCTGTAAATCTCGTTAACTCACGGCAGCTTGATCCGCATGAAGGTGAAGCAGCAGACAAACGAGACCAGCACGCAGGAGAAGCCGACGCAGATCAACATCATGCGGTTGCTGCGCGGCGTGGCCGGGTTGTGTGTTTGGTCCAGCAGTATGAAGCCCAGGCCGCCCATGGTGAAGAGGAAGGACGACGCCAGGCCCTCCATGATGTACTGGCCGTTGACGCGATACGGTAGGAACGCGACCTGCGGAAGTGCAAGGGTTGAATGTTGACAAACGGCCCCGTTGCGGTCCGGAGAAGATTCGTGCGCTTGGAAACCTGTCTGTAAGTTTGGTCCGAATGACTTTGTGTTTGCGACATGACCTCCCTGTTGGCGACATGCAAACAGAGAGGTGTCAAAATCGTCGGAAACCAGGAGCCTTGCGCACAAACCGTAAGCGCGGAAAGCCGCAGTCACGCTCGGTGCAAACACTGCGTTGCAGATGGTTGACACCGATAGGCTGCAGGGGAAGACCACAGTCGCCGACGAGCGACATGGCATTGGGCACGTGCGGCGCGTCGTCACGCGCCGCATTTCGCAGCCCTCCACCCCTGACCGACGCCCAAACAGGCTCGGGTTCAACTGGTCTGCAGCTGCTGTCCTGAGCTGACCAGCGTACCCAACCCGATAACGCGGCGTATGTTTAGCTCCGGAGGACCTGGTCTGTGTTGCTGGACGCGGGCTGCAATGTCAGCACACATGGCTGATCGCCAGACCTCACTGGCCGCGTGGTATTCACCACACCCGTGACCCGAATAGCATAGCAGCCTTACAAAACGTATCCAGTAGGGTGTGCAGGATGTACATATGAATGCGTGCTACCGGAGCCTTGGCTCTCCGGTATTTGCCGCACACAATTCGTTGGCGCTAATCCGTCGCCCTTTGACTCCAAATCCAGACATCTGCCCCGCCAGCCCACTTGCCAAGCCTGAGATGCTAAGACCAAGGGGAGGGGAAACAAGCAGTGAACTCCATCCCGAAATTCTAAAAGCATGACGAAAATATAGGCATCCCTGCCACCCAAGTGGCCGAACATTGAGAAGCTGTGGCACAGCGCCCCGGATCGGCGGGCCGTTAAAGCTCAGGCTGAAAATAATCGACGACGCTGGTGGACTACAACTTCGGATGCTCCCGACGAAGGCCCGGGTGGAAAGCCAAGGCCGGGTAATAACAGGCTGGGCTACACCGCAGCACATGGACACTGAAAACACGAACTGACCCTGAACAGGGCACCATGGGATCCAGGACTGAAAGACAATAGGGTGGGTGAAGGTGGTTAAGCACAAGTTGCCATGAGCCAGCCCCAGAAGAGTTGAATAGCATGTGTGTAAAAACTGAGCCTATGTGATTCATGTTGAAAAAACAGTAATAATTCAGTACATTAGTCAGATGCATGTTCCAAAAATGAGTTTAAGTTAACAAAAAAATTGCAAGGTCATCAGTGACTTACTGGTTTCGAGTGCCCTCGGTCATCAGTAGTGGAGCCGATACTTGGAGGTTCATTGATGACATCATAGATGATCCCTGAAATATTGGTGTCTGTTCATACCAGAGCTGAGGGTTCATAGCATTTCAGGATTTGAGGCAAAGAGAGGGTGGGTTCATGTGTAGTTGATATTTGAAGAGATATCAACCTCAAATTGGATCACATACATCAGCATCTCCAACTCATGCAAAGGGTTAAAAAGTAGGATGGTTGAATCAGTTCCACACAGAACCTTCAAATCTCATCAGATTTGGCTTATCTGAGGGATTTGCAAACACATATTTCATGCAGTTCCTTGTACATGTAAACTATGGGTTTTAGGATTTGATAAAGTTTTTGGGATCTGAATCCAGGTTCTGATCATCAAGCTATTGTTTTTGTTTCAAAAGTTGGCAACAGTTGAATGCATTGAATCTTGTGAATCCAAATACCCAGAGATGGCAAGCAGCCACTACAGACACATCTTTGCATTACACACAATTTTTCTGGGTCACATACAACTGCAAAAATGGAGACCAACAACAATGCCACAAATCATACCTGCACATGTTTACAATACAAGCTTTTAGTAACTGCAAGAAACAGTGCTCCTTGCTGCTACTATGCCAATAGCATCGGGAATGACAGCTGGATCATGGATGGAAATCATTGCTGAATTTCACAAAAGCAAGTGAGTGAGTCATATTTTTGCCACCAATTTTGCAGCTGCATCCAAGGTTGAGATCACATTGAGCCTTCGACCTCTTACTTATGCATATCCTTACATGCAGGTTAAAGTTAGCCCTTTCTTATATGTATCCTAGTAAGCAGAAAATTGCATGCTTTCTGGTGATGAGTTGACATCAGGAATACAGAAATAGCCAGCAAACATTTGTCATTATAGGATAACCATATTTTGATATTGTATCATAACTGACCCTGTCTGCATGTCATATTTGAAACTTCCTGCAACATACCTATCATATATCATAGACAATTATCTCAAAGATACAAAATCACACAGTCATCATAAAGATTGCGGGGCACAGACACCCTTTTCAGAAGCAACTGCCACCTTGGTATTTCAATAGCCACAGGATAAACAGTGCAAGAAAGTGTCTGCATGGTGGCACCACTATCCAGCTGCTGCTGAACAACTGATGTAACCCTTGTCTTTTTTTGCAAGACAGTTGCATGTATGGCAAAAAGAGCCTGAATCAACAGTAGGTGTCTACTACATGCATCCAATGCTTATAATGCTTGTAAGATACATCTGAACTATGCCCTCCACCCATGCAGTGCAGAGGTGGGAAAGACCTGCACTAAACATGTGGTTCTTGATCACCACCTTACCATTTGAAATTTTCTAGGCTTTCTCTTAAAGTGAAAAGCATTAGTTTTGCCTGACTTGTGCCATCTTCAGTTGGGGGGGGGAGGGGGGGCAGGGGGCATGCTGCAGGTGAGCCTTCAGGACCCGCCCTTAAGTGCACCAAAATTTCTAACAGAAACTAATTTAAATCTGGCTGCACAGCTGGAAATATCAGGCCCAGACCTATCCTGTTAATGTCATGAATCTGTTCCTCAACTTTGTACAGGGTGTTGTGGATCAGGTTCATTTAAAGTGCAAGGACACTACAAATTGGCAAAGCATGCCATACCTATGCAAGTATTTTCACAATTTAGGAGATAACCCCAGCTCCCCACTCTCAACAGCTCAGCACACCATTTTCAAGACATCAGCAGGTGTGGGTCATATTGGAATCAGAAGAGCATTTGGAGAAGTCCATTCACGATGCCAGGGGGCCGGCATGGAGGCACTCATTCGACACATCAACACCGGATAGAAAATGTTCAAATATCTGTAATATCAAGTAACGCCATCACCTTTTAACCCTGCACGAGCTGCCAATGTGTGTCACATTTACCAAACTTACCGCCTGTAACCATGAAATAAGACACCAAAATAAACGCAAACATTTGCATTGCACTTGGCTGCTGAAACCATGACGGCTTTTTGATCTTCAAGTTCGGAACCTCCAAGAGTTTGAAAGGTATCGACACCAGTGTTTCCATACCGCTGGTTTGTGATTGCTCGAATGAAGGTCTGTGAAACACCTCGTCTCAACTAGTTAATAACAAGCAGAACCACTTGAACCCGGCAGCTTTCGCGGGCCGGCACCGAAGCACCGTATCAAGGAGGCTGGTCTCGGGCCAAGTGGAACGGAGGCCAAGTCTAGAATAGTGTAGCTTACGTGTACCGTACAACTAGACATACAAGCCTTGGTTAGAGCCAGCATGCTAAATCACGGCACGAAATTATTTTTTAGAGTTCAGGTTTTCCGGTTCACTTCTTCTGGATGTGTTATCATGAAACTCAGGTAAAATGCAAACATTTTTTATGAATAAATGGTATTATGGCTAAGGGCGGGGGGACTATGACAGGATTACCAAAGATAACATACCAGACCATGGCTTCATAAACTACCAAACGATGAAGCAAGGTCCTTCCAGGCACGACAATGAATGCGCGGCTGAGACAACCAATTAGACGCCGCCCCACTGCTCTTACCGCGCCGGTCAAGCGATTGAGCCCGGGATGCTAATCGTAATGCTCAAGGCGAGCGTCAGGGCAATGTCGTATGTGGCATTGGACGTGAGTAAATCGACTCGCAAGTGCACCTACGCTTGACGGTCCCCGCTGTGTGGTTTACAGTTGTGACGTCTATCGTGATTTACAGAAAAACCCCCTGTCTGTTTAAATTGCCATGCATCGTTATCTGCAACAGATGCGATCACTGTGCCAATCGATGCAGACATGACGAACATGCGCTATATTATTCAAAACTCGCCATTGCGCCCCGTCGCGCTCCCGTGATTTGACTACTGCCTGGTTACTTCGGAAAACTGCGCTCTGATCCTGATTGTGGGCTCAGAGCAATTTCTAAGTGGACTTCGTCGTGTTTGCCCCGAACCCACCAACCGTAATATCCCGCCCAGCTCATTTGTTAAATTTGGCATTGTTCCTGCCTGACAAGACTTCAGAGGGTGTGATGCAACAAACAACATATTTCCCAGCATAGTAGTGATTAATGTCAGAATTGCCCAGCTAGACCTCACTATTTACTGTCACTTCGCCTGCTTCACACACCTTCCATTACCTTTCATGAATTTTCTGCGTTTTTGCCCGAATCTCCTGTCTCCTTGCATTCTTCTCGCAGGTTTTAATGCTCACCGTCGAGCCCGGAGCTGTGAAAACACACACGGCACCAACATTGTCACGCTATTTAACACGCACGACCTGGTCTGCATTAACAACCAAATACCCACCCACTCCGCCACGCATTCACACAGAATTACGTATTCAATCATAGACATCACGCCACATCACGTATCGCACCTTCCTTTCCCCCACATGTGCGCAGTCTGACCCTTATGTTAGTGATCACTACCCAAAATCACATTGTTCTTGACACGCCTTGTGGACAAGCCGATCGGCATTTCCTCCACGGATGGAACTCCCGCAAGTCGGACTGGCCATGATTGAAAAATCACGCTGACTTGGTAGGTCCTCCTGGCTCCTCTTCGCCTCATGCCGACTTCCTCCGCACCATCACTGCATCGGCACATAGACATATTCCACACACTCGGCGCAGTCCGGGGCGCAAACGTACCCCGGTGGAAGGCGATTGCCAGTGAGCGGTGGCCGGACGTCGTCGTGCAGAGCACGCTCTCCGGCACCTTATCTGTCAGGCTCGCGAGGAGGCTGTTCGCATGGGCTGCTTTCAGGCTCGCGCAACAATTACAATGGTGGAGGTATTACAGCTGGGAGAAGCATTTAATCCAGTTCAACCGTTTCAACCCTCTAAGAAAAATTTGCAACCCCAGCAGATGTTTCACAAATATACGCGCCCCGCCTTGCAATATGCCACAACTCATGATTCACAAGACCCACCACAGCTCACCTTTTGAAGTCGCCACTGCATGCGCACAATATTACGCTAAAGTACCAGCCTATTCCTAACACTCAGTTTACACCACACACTTCCCACAACCACTTTGCGCACATGCAGCTTTGAATGCACTAACACTGAGCCATACAACACGATTTGCACGCTCCATTATCTCTAGCTCGCTATTTCCAAACGCGGCAGCACGACCGAGGGCCCGGATCTGCTGGCATATTTCTTCCTAAAAAAAATCATTGAAGTCTATGCCCTCTAATCTGCTCTCGGGTTTGAACGAAACCTTGATGCAAGGCACTTGCCTTCACTCCTAGCGCTCGAGTACTCCCGTGCCCATTCTCAGATCGTGGGAGGGTATCTCTGATCCTTGTAGCTATCGTCTTATTTCCCGGACTTGTTCTGCTTGTAAACTATTTGTACGCAAATAATCTTGGTATATCCAAAAGATAGTATTTGTTCCCCTTTGTAATAAAACTCCCAGCCGCAGTGCAATACCACATACAGCCTTGTTTAAAAAATTGACGCCATTTAGCGCGAGTTCCAGACGAAATTCGTTTCGTCCGCACTATTGAAAGGTATGAAACTTCTTTCGATAGGGTTTATATATTATTCCGTACACCCTATAGGCCCCTTAACATTGGAATCCCGGCAGACACGCCAAATTCATTCAGAACTTCCTTACCGAAAAAGCTTTTATGATGTGGTGTGGCAGGAGCCATTCTGCACCTACCCAGCAGGAGAAGTTCTGTGACATGGACACCAGTCTACCCAGCTGCCACAGGGTCACGTTGGCGATTTCAACAAGCTCTAAATCACTTTCGAATTTGGTGCGACAGGTGTGGCTTACATGTGTCCCATTTAAAATCACCTACGGTAATATTGTCTTATCAATGTTATCACCGTAAGCCTGTAGTCTTTTTAAACGTAAGCGTCTGAAATATTTTCGTTGCCTTTTTGTTAAAATATCTCGCGCTCACTTTAAGCTGTCGTCTCACGTCTTGTATGCATTTTGAAGACATTCGACAGCACAGCCTGCGCTGATTTGGAATAATGAAGTGCATTTCAGGGCGTAGTTGGGTGATTGGGGTGTTGATGGGCGCACCCTTGAACCCTTTATGCTACACTGGTTCGATCAATTTTGCTTTACTGTGATTTTCTGTTTGAACGTATATCCAGGGTTGAAAACCTTTTTATTTATCGGATATAATCGGTGAAACAATTGACACTTTTGTGAACCTATTGGTGGCAAAATTGCGAAAATGAAAACAGATATCGACAGACCAGACCATATCACAACAGGTCATCCCAGTTAGACAAAACTCAGAGCTTAGTATTGACATGTACTCGCCAACGATTGCAGCATGAGCATGTGTAGAGTGCATGTCGAAACGTTTCCGTCTGGCTGTATGAACAAGTTGAGCCATATGATGTTGCCAAACATAGCAGCTTTAATCAGGGTAGCTTTTAACCAGTGATCGAGACATACTTCAAACTATACTTTATCAGTGCTGACGCCGCAAATCAGTGGTGTAACAGTGGTTTTCCAAGGCCCCTCAGACCAGTGCTTTTCACAGATTTTTATTCATTTATTCAGCCAAGATTCGCTTCATGTGCCGAACAGCACAGAATACCAAATAAGTAGGCTTATTACCAGCTGTAAGAATCGTGGCTGGCCACGACATCTTGCGACGAACGTGATAAGCCTGCTACGCAGGGTTTTAAAGCGTCATGCCATTTGAGACAGGTCGGTTCAAGTGCTCGCCACGCGGTTAAGTACAAGGCTGTGGGCCGCTGTTGGCTGTGTTCATGTGATGGGAAGCTGACTGGCTGGAAGAACGTGGCTAATCGTCAGTTTTTTAAGATAATAATTTAAAAAGCCATAACGACCAGGGAGGATTTTTTTGTGGATACCTGACCTTGAAAAAAAGTTTCAAGAAAATAATAAATAATTAAAAAATAATAATTTTATTAAATAATAATTAAATAACTTTAAAAAATAATTTAATAAGAAATAATAATATAATTTATAATGAGAAAAAAATTATTAAAAAAAGAAAGCTTGAAAGTTTAATGGAGGCCGTTGGAACGACACATGTCAAAGATTTATCCGCGGCCTCCTGCTGCTGAGAGGAACTGCGGATTTGAGGCAAGAGGTCGAGCATTGCTAGGTCTCTCAAATTGCCCGTTGCACGTCAGACTTGGCATACTGATCGGTGGTTAGGAGTGATATAAAACGCTTTTAGATGTCATCATAGTGCATGTAAAGCTAAATGAATGCGCCAGAGGTGTCACAAATTTAGTTTACATCTGTTGATATCAATATTGTGTGGGTTTTGGCCTAAATAATTGGGATCACGTCAGGAAGAACGAGTTCTGCACCGGCAATAATTATACGAAGATAGTGAACGTCGCCAACGTTTCCAGCTGATTGTGCGATGACAACACGATACCAAAAGTGGTGCTGTTTCAGGTGCTTGCAGAACCGTGTTATCGGTAAATGTAGGGCTATGGGAATATACTTTTACAAAATACCTAGGGGCGAGGAAGGAAAAGGGAGAGGGGTTGCAGGAAGAGAAAATGTCTGGGCTTGCCTCGGAAATGCATTTAGAACGGTTTCGCTCCATATTTCTTGCACTTTCTTTTCGCAGTTAGGAGCATGGGTGCAGTTTCTCAAAATCAGTTGTTTAGGGGCTCATCCCCAAATTATGATAAATAAAACATGATGGATAAAAAAAGATAACTAAAGATGGGGACCTGCATTCCTGGTTAGGAGGCACAACCCCACCCTCCCCTCCCCAACTGAATAGGAAACTACACGCCTTTAGGCTGGTTATATCAAGTATGCCTTTATCTGATGATGCTATTAGTTTAGTCTTAACCATCATCCAGTGTTTAATGGCCAGCAAATGCCCCTTCAGTGGAAATGTCCCGAAGCGAAAAGTCTCGAAGCGAAAATGTTTGATGGTTATACCACATTGCACCTAATTTTCTTTCTTGTGCTTCATCGCATTAAGACATATACCCCATCAGTTTCTGAAAGATTTGACCCCAGGTGACGATTTAGACGGTTCAAAATTTTGTCGATGACAAAAAGGGCACTTCTTTCACCCCTTGACATATCTACCTCTTAAAGTGTCTCCCTTGAGGATGTCCAATGCAACGCTCTTTAGGTCGTCACCGGCGCCATTCGGACCTCATCAGTGGACAACGATGAACAGTGGACAGTGGCTGTCACGATCGTGCCCCGGCTTCCTCGCTGGTGCGAACTATAGTTCCGCTGTGGCATCCGCGTCTCATCATGCCTCATCACGTCTTATCACGTCTCATCACTCCTCCTGCGCCGTGCTGCGCAGTCTAGGAGCTATCGAAAAGCATATTTATGCGCAAAACAGGTACCTCACGATTAGTGCAGGCATTCAACATGCACAAGACCTCCTCCACACCCACACCCTCACCTTTCACCCGATGCCACAGCTCCACCCCCCTCTGGAACGACTGGAACATTCCCATGGAGGACCTTCGCCCCACTACACAATACATCACGTAAGTGGAAATCGTCTCGCGCTTCAATCAGTTTCACTTCAAACATCTGAGCCTTAAATCTGACTATGCTGACTTTTGCAGACGGGATGGTGGCACTGAGTCCGCTTTTATTGCCCTACCATATCTTATTCACTTCATCTTCTTCATTTTCACATAGCTTTTTTCCCTGTTGAATTGTTTGTTTTCGATGCTGCCCTTAATTATATACGAAAAAGGATGCACTGTCCAGCTGTCATTTGCCGCGATCCACCGTCATAGTTTTATGCCCTCTCCGCTTAGCATGTTTTTTCCGATCCCGTTGCAGCGCAAATCCGGGAAACATTCTACTTGCTTTCTCCCATTCATTAGGCCATTTTCCTGTGGGTTCCAAATCTTAATCCCACCCGAAAAATGACAGTACTGATGTTTTACCTGAGGAGAGCGTCGGTCTTCGTCCTCGTAAAAACCTTACTTGCCCTGTGCCCGACATTTAGACTCATCTTTAATCCCCTTTTAAAAGTCCCTCACGGTGAGAATGGGACGCAGTTCTGCATCCCCACTTACATTCGATCAAACTCTTCCGTGAATAACCCTGATGCCCGCCCCATAGCCCTCCCGCTTGCCATGACTGGCGGCGTCCGTGGCTGTTCGTAGTTCCATAACCTGTGATACAGTACGGAGTCGGGACTATCAAGAGTCTCAAAACTAGCATTGCGGACTGCTTTAGGCTATGCCTGCTATTGCTGAGGTAACGGAGTATGTCGTTCATCACCGGGCAACGTCGTCATTGTGTGCCGAAATTGCTATGGTTATCAGGGACAACGTGAAGACTCCGCACAAGCGCACAAAACCGGCGTCAGTAGGCCAGTGGCATTCATGAATGGAATACTGGCTGCGGATGTCGCTGAGTCTTGACAGGAGCTGAAAATTATGAGCTCAGTTTTCTGCGCGCTATTTCCCATGCCGTTTTTCGCAAATAACAACTACTAAGAAAGATCCGAAAGATTTTGCTTCGCAAAGGTAACAATGGAGCCAATGTGCTACATCTCTCAGAAACTAGAACTCTGGTGTCTCCAGCATATTGTGCGATATCTGCCCCGCCTGCATATGCGCCACTGACATACATCGAGCGCAGAGGGGGGGGGGGGGGGGGGTTTAAGGTCGACTCCTGGCACGTGCCGGTGAGCTTCAGCAGCGGCTGTGAAGTCTGACGCTCGCCAAATAGTGTCTGAACACGCATTTAATGGTATTGGCTGGTCAGGTAGTGTTCAAACTAGCGCTCTCGTGCATGCCATAGTGCAATGGCTTCCATGCGGTGCGGTATAAAAATAGTGTCCGAATAGTGTCTGAACACGTGTGTCCAATAGTGTCCAATAGTGTCACGTAGTGTCCAAATAGTGTCTGAACACGCATTTAATGGTAATGGCTGGTCAGGTAGCGTTCAAACTAGCGCTCTCGTGCATACCATAGTGCAATGGCTTCCGTGCGGTGCGGTAGTAGACCTGTGTCACGGCAAGTGGGGTGCAAACAAACTTGAACCTGTACGGCAACGTTCTTATATTTAGCTAGCATTGATATGTTGCTAGTGTTACAAATGATGACAATATTTTAGGTACCCGTCTTGTCTCATATGGAACACACCATGCCGCCGAAAGGGGAACTACAGCAACACAGTGGGTTCACCATTCACCATTCAGCAGCAGCAGCGTACTGCTACGTGAATTAGTCACTGACACCAATGCCGAAGACATCTTTCACAATATATTCAGATTGCAATATAACAGCAATTTTTGTCCAACCGCGACGCGTCATTCGTCGCTATGCGACCTCTTCGAAAGCCACGACCGTATTGGCGTGGCGCAGACTTTTCACGCGGTTCTTTAGGTCGTCCTGTTGTGCAAACGGCTGTATCTCCGACTTCCACAGACAGGCGATGACGACGCTGAGCAGGACCATCTGGACGATGGCGATGACGAAGAACCAGCACCACTCTTGTAGAGTGCCCTGCACAGAGTTCAGGGGAGCTCTGTTAATGCTGTACCTTTCGCCCAGATCATGTTTGGTCCCCTTCCTTCCTCTGGGATTTGGTAACAACCATGATTGCCAGTCCTATAGTGCAGGTTTTGGGATTGTGTAGCCTGCCTGTGACCCGGCTCGGCCGTCGTCTTTGTGCCTGTGATCCAGCACGGCCATCGTCTTTGTGTCTGTGATCCAGCACGGCCGTCGTCTTTGTGCCTGTGATCCGGCTCGGCCGTCGTCTTTGTGTCTGTGATCCAGCACGGCCGTCGTCTTTGTGCCTGTGATCCGGCTCGGCCGTCGTCTTTGTGTCTGTGATCCAGCACGGCCGTCGTATTTGTGTCTGTGATCCAGCACGGCCGTCATATTTGTGTCTGTGATCCAGCACGGCCGTCGTCTTTGTGTCTGTGATCCAGCACGGCCGTCGTATTTGTGTCTGTGATCCGGCACGGCCGTCGCTGTGTCGACTGACGATTGATGCGACAGAGGAGCTCGGCCCACTCCTTGCGAGTTGTTTTTCGACATACCCACATCGCATTGCACGTTACGCTGGCGCTGAGATTCGTGGACAAGCACATGCCCATGCCTTTGGTTGACACGGGACCAAGATGGCTCGAAAATAAAAGATATGTGTTCGCATGTTTAGAAGATCGCATGCGACAGTTTGATGAACAACTGGTGATGGGAATTGATCCAGCTCATCAATACGTGTAGTACAAGTGAGGCAGGTAAGGCAATAAGGTATATCAGCATCGTATTTCATTGGATGAAGTGGATTAAATGAGATAAATGTTTGGTTTTAGATTAAACATATTGAAGGGAGCGCTGCTCAGTGGTATGGGTTTTAAATGAGATTGCCAATTTGAAGATAATTCAGTGCAGTTCACGGCGCTTCCCAATTTAGAGTTAGAATTCTCTGGTTTTCTGAGCTTGTTGCTTACAAACTTGTGCAGCCTATCTCGCGCAGACTACTCCAAGGTCATCCAGGCAGGCATGACGCTACAGAAACGACAAGCGAACACTGCACACTCAAATGACGATATGGTACTCAAGGCCACTAAAAGTATGGTAACCGAGTTATTCATGTCTGGCGTGCGTCAGCACAATCTCAGGCACCAACGGGCTTTAACGAGTTCCCAACCAATGTAATGCGTTTAATGCAAGTTTCGAACACGAATCACATTTTGTTCTACCTAATGCAAAAAGGTGGGCAATGACACGAGTTATGACGGAAAGAAGACCGGGAATAAAATTACTCCATATCGAACATATGAATGCAGCTAAATGATATAAAATCAAATATGCAAAGAACATCACGAGAAAAGGCCAAAACACGCCTGCATAACGATATTTTAGTTCCGTAAAAAGCGCACCGATTAGCACACCACCTCTCGACAAGTCGAAGCACAAGAAGTGATTGAGGCCGTCCACTACCGTGACAATGTCGTACGACCACTTTTACAGCCACTCCGACGTTATACAAACGTTCCATGACACAATCAAATGATGACGTATTGAGAGGCATCTTTACTAAACAGTGAATTTTGTTGTCTAGAGCGGTGTCTTGTACTGAAAAGCACAACAACAGCTACAAGTGAGATTGTGTCATCATGTACGCTGCTTGGCTCCATATCTTCAAATGTGGAACATTCCCTCTAAGAAACACAGTTTACAACAGTTCGTAGATTGTGCAATGCCTTTTGCAGTGGGAGGTGTTCTGCGAATAATCGCAGAACGCCCCCATCCATCATCAAACATTCTGTAGGGCTTCGGAAAGCGCGGCAGGATGCTTGGCAATACTGCTCATTGCATGCCATCGATATCGTCATAATGCTGTCAGAATGGATTAGCTTTCGTGATTCTTCATCGTATGGGATAAAACAACCTTTTTGCGGCGATCAAATTCAACTGATTTAAGTTTTTCGGTCTGCGTGCCATCCATGTCAGCGTCAAGCACTGTACCCGAACTCGTCTCTATGTTCCCTTCCGGCATCCTGTGTGGGGGCTGGCCGTTGGGTGGAGGCGTGTCCTGCCTGGGGCGCACGGCTGGGCCGGTTAACTCACATTCGGCGTCATGGCGGCCGCGATCAGAGGCGCCAGGAAGCCGGTGGTGTTACCGAAGGAGGAGGCGATGCCCCAGATGAAGCCGATGTACTGCGGAGCGATTTCGGAAGCCGCCGACACCGGACCTGAACAACACCACTGCGTGTCAGGCAGGTTAAGTAGTCACGTTCCCCGCACTCTAGACAAACTGCATCACCATTTAAACAGCAAAACCTCTCTCCAGTGTGCGGCGCGATACGCGTGGCGGCACGTTGGAGGTGGCGTCATTCCCAGAGGACTGTGTTTCAGATGGGAATGTCCAGCTTCCAATCTTCCACTTCGGGGGCGCAAGCACTTCGCATACGCCATCGTGACAATCAACGTCACGCATTGCGGTTCTCATTACGTACCAGTTAGGACGGACCGGTGATATCTGTATCCCCACAGCGAAATCCGCACATCCTGGTCAACCGCAGATGCCATGGATCAAGGTCTCGTCGGGGTCCGGGTTCGAGATATTTCCGGGCCCGAAAGACCTTACATGCAGGGGTGCGAGAATCCAATGTGTGTGTGTGGGTGGAGGAGAGGGGAGGGGACCGGATAGTACCGGGGCTTCGTGGCAAAATTCTCTTCGACGAGGGCAGTGTGAAAAAAATGACCGTGCTGAATGAGGGCAGCCAAAAATAGATTATTTGCCGGAAGAGAAATCAATATAGGATCATACGGATGCTCACTGGCTTCATATGCCCAGCGTGGTCATGGTATGACTAGTCATCATGCCCATCTGATCAGCCTGGACCCTCTAGCAATTCAGCGGGCCCTTCCTGACCTCCGGAGGCACTCTGGTTGCTTGAGTACCCTTGTAGCTACTTAAAGTCCCTTTGACCTTTCCGAACTCTGTTGTGGACACCAGTATGACCTGGGAACTGGTCAGGGGCTACTTGGTTGCTCAGGGGTCTCATCGACTGCTCTGGGCCCTCTCTATGCTCTAGCCGCTTATCGGCCCTTCAGTTGGTAATGGGCTCGAGCCACTCTGGCGGCGGAGGAACCATTTGGCCAATGGCGTGGCCCTCTGTCTATTCAGGGGACCACTGGCCACTCATGGCGTGGCTGAATACTGCACAGGTGTGGGTGAGGAGGAAGAGAGGGGTACATACATATAAATGACTAGGGTTTCTGATATCTGGGATACGGACATCTGTTTCAGGAAAACCTAAAACCCGGAGATTCAGATTCAGATTGAGATGTGTGTTCGTCGAGGATCCACAACCATGATGGCTTTTCACGTGACACGCCATTGACAATGGAACGTTCAGGCAATCACCTGGACCTGGGCAGCACTCTAATGAAGCACGAAAAGCACGGACTTTTCAGTGGCGTGTCCAGGCAGGATTGCTTGTCTCAAATCTAAAATGACTGATAGTACATGCCAGTGGCGCAGGCAGGAATGAGGGGGAGGGGGCACAGAGGCACAGAGGCACGTGCTCCCCATGATATCCCAAAAGGCCTGAAGAGCCCCATGAGCCAAAGACTAAGGTCCTGATTGGAAGGCTGAAAGGCCTTAAGGGTCCGAGATGCTGTCGAAGGTTTCTTTAGGACTTCGGCTGGCAGAGCCGTGACCTCAACTGATAGAGGGACTCTCGAACTGACTGAAAACAACTCCGGGACAATGAAGACTCCGGCCTCTGTTTCGGCCAGAGGCCATCAACATCGAACAGTTGGTTCTGTGTCGGCCCGAGCCCTGGGAACGATTTCCCAAGCAAAAACAAGGCAGGAGCACTTGATTTGCATTGGTCGCGGTCCCTGAAACAATGGGGAGCCCCTGTCTCTGTCAGGGGCCCACAGTGCCTGACAGGAGGCCCGTTTCGACAAGTGGCCCCGAGTCCGCCAGGAGTCCTATTCGAGGTGGCCCGAAGGGGGCTCAAAGAGTAGCCCGAAGGGCCCCTCGGACCAAAGGTTTAGGACATGGCTGGAAGGCAAGAGGGTCCAAAGGACTGGCTATAGGTTACATTAAGGACCTCCGCGCGCAGTGCCAAGACCTCTGTCAGTCAGAGTGATTCCTACACAGACTGGGGGCCCTGGGACAATGCGGATCCGTATTTTGGCGATAGTCAATCTGGGGTCAGCTGCTCAGGTCAGAGGTCTTCCGGCGCCAGGAAGGGGACCAATGTATGATGCAGCTCTCTAAGGGCCTCCGAATCGAACAGGGAACCCCGCCCCGCGTTGTTAGAAGGGCAGCCGGTACGCAGTCCACGCTGGGACGGAACGGCCCTTCAGTCCTTTGCCAGGAACGACAATGAGCCCCTTGTGTTCTACCCAAGGAGCATTTAGGTAATGGCTCCTTAAAATAGTAAGGAATCTTATAAGTGTCCAAAGAAGTGGATCGAAACTAGGTCAAATTGAAAAAGGACAACCCACGTTTTCCTGAGGACGTCATCCCCTTGCAACATCGACTAGTGAAACAAATCATGAAAGCAGTTTTGAACCTGCACGTTCACCATCTTAAGACGAAGAAAAGTGATGCCCGTCGTCGCAGATTTCACCAAACAGAACAGCGTTAGCCGATGCAGCGGGCACCAGGTGGCGGGCGCCGGGCGCGCGAGAACGACCGCCGTGACATGATGATACTGAAAGCCTCAAAATCGACTCGTATCGCTCAACAATCGGACTGGAACGTCTATTTTGCATTTCTGCCTTTGATATGAACAAATAATCAGTCCCAGCAGCCAGAAAACTGGAGGTTCTTTCTCTGCTCTTACAGTTACACCAACAGATTTCAGCACCAGTTCACGATGCTAGGAATGCTAATGCGCTCTTATTATTAACCATCACCCTGATATCGATGGTCGCTGACACCTCCAAAGCTTTTTAAAGGTGCTACTTAGGGCATCTGATAAAATTCGACTCAATTTTAAGTAGCCCATCGGGCAATGATTGCATGAATTTGATGCCAAAAACGTGTTCTTAGCTTTTCCGGTTTCGGAGGAGAGGCTTTTTTAGGAACACTACACGACGATCCACGAGCCGGCGCGGACGGCGGACGGTACCCGGCGATGCGACGGAAGGTGCGCGGCGGGCCCCCATTGTTACATTAACGGCGCCATATTTCATAAATGCATGCTTAAGACACAAAAATATGCCCATTGTACTCAGAAGTTAACAACAAACACGACTGTTCACGCGTTGTATCGCCACAAGGCATGGCGTAGATATTAAGTTGTAGATCTAAAAAAACATGACTTTTTGGAAAATTCAACCTTCGACAACCATAATAAAGTTAATCATTGATATAACAGCATACAAACTAGCAATAATCGGGAAATTTCATTGAGACCAATATGCTGGTGTTTTCCGTTAATCTCTATGTTCTGTTGGAAACACCAGGAGGGATCACATCAATCCTCCCTATCAGACACGTTATGAAAAACAGCGAATCAGGGCGAGAGCTCTTCTGTTCTAACTTAAATCCTTTCCAGTCACAAGGTAGAGGTAAACGAGCATCCTTGTCACAGGATGCCCAAAGTGGAAACAAGCAGCTAAATTCTTCACAACAAAATTTCACAAGACATTTCAAGAACCTTGTAGCATGGAAAACATTTTGTTAATACATCTATAACAAACCTAAAGGGAGCGTTCCACTTGTTGAGCAAATAGGACAAAATATGTAATGAAACTTCAGGACTGGTAACGCCTATTGAAATCTCATGACTGGTAACATCACTGGGCAGTGCCATTGCAGCGCCGTCAACACATAATAAGAATATTAATTTCAGTTACTTTCGATTTCAGATTAAGATGTGAATGCTTTGCAACGCTGATGCGCTTCTTCCCTGCAGATGCGACCCCTGTCGTCATGATAACCACCGCGCGCACCTCTACTGATTCGAATAAAAAAGTTTGTGATTGGTCCAGTGGGCAAGGGCCTGTCGCCGAGAAGGGCGTCGGATAAAGTCTGAACCAGTGTGTCACATGGATCATGTAATGCTTCCATTCTGAAAAACAAAGTGCGTCTCGAAATGGGCCACTGTGGTAAACGCCACAGTGGCCCACATAGGGGAGAAGTAAAAGCCATAATATATCGTTACTTTGAATTCACGGTACAATAGCTTCATTTTCACATATTTTTGTGTATAAACAGAGTGTGTCGGGCTCTCGTAGCACTGATTACACAGACATTTTGACACAGTGTTGTGTTGCAAACATTAAAGAAACACGCGCTGAAAAAACAAGGTAAATGAAGTGTATTACTTTCAAAGTGGCGACCAGGGAGTTAAATGATATTTTTCCCACAGGATTTACTATTGGAATCGAAATTTTGAGCTACTCAGAAGGATTCCGAGAAAAAAAGATATTACTGATCACATCGTACGCATCTGGTGTAACAATGACGTAAAAGTACAAAAAGATAGGATACTCCCTTTAAAGGGATGTTTCACCTATGAATATATTGAAGCAAACGCCAGATATGATGAGAATGATAAGCTTTTCAGTAGAAAAGACGGCTTTAAATAACGCAACTTCTCTGTTTGGTTAACATGTTATTCGATATGCCATTAATTAATCACGTGATTGTAACTCGCACAACATTGAAAAAGAGCCAATGGACAGCCGTTATATTTGGAAATGGTGCTCACCAACGGCAGATATGAACGACTCGACCCTCATGTTTTTATCGGCCTTGATCGTCGCATGACTTATGGAGTGACAGGATTTGAATGACGTTATCATGACGCCATGACTGCCAAGTAAACCTTTAAATACTCTCCCCGAAATACACTCCCCATTTTCGCCGCCGTGTAGCTCAGAAACTACATGGGTTTAGGTCTTAGGAAGGGCAGGGTTGTGACGTGCATGGAAAGGTCTTCAAGATGGCTTTTTCCGTTCAAAACTCCATATAAAAGTGGAACACTCCCTTCAAAGGTACGGACATATTTGACACAGAACTAGTAATTCTCAGAGAAATAAAAAAGAAGAATAAAAAAGAAAAGAGAAATAAAAAACACCATGTGAGGATATTGTTAAAACGTTAACAAACTGTTAAGCTAACCTAACCAAACCAAAAAGGAAAGCTTTTAAGCCTAAACAGAAAAAAAAGACCGCAAGCTTTCCAAGCCTTAAAATGAATAACGACTGACATGGTGAACTTCTCTATGCAATGGGAAATGAATCCTTAGTTCAGTTGCGTCACGTTGGAGGCTAAGTTACGTCAGACAATTGCCCAAACGGCGACAAACGATTCATCTTAGACCGAAATTACGCGCCCTTTCGGATCGTCAAGATTTGAGAAATTTGCAACTGCCCTGTGGTGTGAATGTTTATCTTTTCTTTACAACGATTCGATTCCTTTCGGAAATAGGAATCCAAGAGCCGCTCTCAAACCGGGATGCTTCAAGTCGTGTGGTGCCCTGATATGCTGGACTGGGCCCAACTGTCCGATATTTCTCGATTCTGGACCCCCGACACGTTTCAGAAGCGATTTTCAGACTCAGCACATAACACGGTTAATAAATCTCGAGGCAGACATTCGTTTCAACACATTTCACACTTAACTTTGTACCAAATGGTAATGCATTATGGTGACCTTGCGATTTAGAGCTGCAAATTCTCTTATCTCAGATGGCAAGCGAGACGATATGGACCTGACGCAATGGGTATCAATGAGGTACGCAGAAGAATGTCTGTGGTCGTTACCGGAGCTGATAACGATGCTGGAGAATCCTTGAGCCAGAGATATGAGGACGACGCTGAGGTATCGTTGGCTGGCTGGCAGTGAGATGACGGCGATCATGCAGGCAGCGGGCACGAGCAGCCCTGCGGAGCCGGGAGGCATGATCAGTAGCAGCTTCAGAGGTTGAACGGACAGGACTCAGGCCCAGACAAGGTGGCAGGATGATGGCACTACTGCTGTTACAATATCTCACGAAAAGGTTGCGTTGGTTGTAAGCCTCCGAGGCCCATCACATGCCAGGTTACCTGGTGTGCCGGATTAGTTTCTCCGCAATATGCGTGAAAAGTATGTACACTAGATTACACAACAAATAATATTAGGGTAAAAGCACCAACACACCCAAGGAACCAATTCTAGATGGCATAAACTTACCGATCACCGATATTATTTTGCGTGAGTTCGTAGAGCTCACGCCCTTGTTGACATGAAGATACGCGTGCGCTTTTCCTCCGACAATGATCATAAAACCCATGCAAAGGCTCGGCAGGGCTGACACGAACCCGTTCTGAAATAATTCGATATGGTCACCGGCGTTGCCAGGTATCGGCGGAACGATTTCCCAAACCCGTCCCGCTGATTTTTGCCAACTTGCGCAGTAGTGTGGCACCCGCCTTCGAGGTACACATATTGGTAGCTTGATGGTCCATAGTTGGCTGAATACATACACCTGGTGGCTCGGGAATACTCAGCCCCCTGTCATCCCTGTGTATCGCCATAGGTTCATTTTTGCTAAGTGCCAAATGTGTGGTGCGGAAGAGACAAAATAAGTTCACCAACCTTGACTCGCGTCGCTGCATGTCGCTTGCTATTTCTTAGTTCATCTTACTGATGTTTTGTGGGGGCAGTGCTTGTTGGATTTAAGTATGACGTGTTTGAAGCTTTTGTGTGGTATGCACTGAAGCTAAAGAAGTGTATTTTGCACGATGCTGTTTGTGTGTGAGGTAGCCATATGTAAACCTGTTGGTAATATTAAAGGCACGGGGTTTTCTCCATGATTTTAGTGTAATGCGCAGGGGGCTAGAATCGCGTTTGAGCTAGGGTGGGAATGAAAAATTTCATCGCAAAAAGACCGTGCGGGAGTGAAAAAATCAATTCACAAAAGATGGAACTTATGAGCTCGTGACTGATGCTTCAGCAAGCAAAGACATCTATTTCAAGTTGGCATGGACGTAATATCACAAACCTGACAAAACTATTTCGCTTTTTAACATCTTAGGCCATTAAAATGAAACAGAATACATTAACACGCGCTCGGGGTGGGGGCAAATTGACCCCCCCCCCCCCAACCCGAGGGCTTTTCCCGAATGGTTTCTGAATGGCGCGGCGTAGCCGCGCCAAATTTCGCATGGCTTTGCATAGTAGAATTTTGCATTGCATTGCATAGTAGAAAATTGCATAGCGGATCGTTTGACATACCAATTTTAGATGTACCTTGTAAGGGCTCTTGCCTATGACAGGTAAAAGTCAGCCCATGGTTTCAGCGAAGGCAATTTCTAGGGAATCGTTCAATCTGATACAACAACAGAATGTTTGACGAAGACATACATCTCTGAGATGCTTTATTAGACACCACAAATATTGAATGAGCAAATTACGTTGACCTAAGGTCAGGTATGATGATCAGACCAAGGTCAAAACCAACCTGATTTATTACTGTAGGGCTTGCTGTATGGAACAGTTTCTGGTGCTGATTTCGAATTTATTGACAACAGGAACCGCATTATACATCATCAATTGACTTCTTAGCTGTCAGAACAGGCCATTCACCTAAGATGACCCGGGTCGAACGTTTTGTTCTAGGAACATACTGCCTAGCGTAATCTTTGTCGGTTGTTCAAAAGCAAAACGCAGAGCAGTCTTGCATCATTTTAGTCACCATGAACTTCAAGGGGTCAAACAAGGTCAATGACCTCAAATGGGCTTATGAAATTTTGCTTAGAGACAGTTGCCTAGGTTCTGGGGGCGCTTTGGAGACCAACCTGGAATTTGACCTTGTTTGACCTTATTCGACCTGAAGGTCATGACTTATATTATCACGCTAACCTATGGAATGACCTTGACTTGACCCCATTGCGGCATCTACATGTTCGTGACACAGCCCTCTCATTTAGCCAAATCGAATATACTTTTGGAGAAATGAAATGCGTCAATTGACCCAGCCCTGCAAATATGTAACAGGGGTCTGCAGGCCTTTGCCCTGACCTTGACCTTTCATGTCGGTATGATTTCTAGTTGTTCCTTTAAGATGCACCCATTGACTCTTGCCGTTTGCATATATATATATATATATATATATATATATATATATATATATTTAGGCAATGAATTCCTGAAAAAGCTTTGTGAGAGTTCTATCCTCCGGCTTTCCAGCCCAAGGCGCTCAGCTGGGACGCTAGCCAATTAATTATTGATAAACCTTGCAGCTGGTATTATGGCCTATTCGGAGAGTAAATAGTCTTGCTATGATCCAGCCAAAGATATTTAACGGCTCCCAGTCTTAGAACCGTTTCAAAAAGCCAAACAAACTGCGGTAGGCATGTTTCCGCCGTTGACCATTGCGTGTCGATTACACTTGTGACGTCATCAGTCAAAGCAGCGGAATTTGGCTGGACGGTTATACATTCTGTTCTAGGGCCCCGGGAAATACTAAGGCAAAGTTGGGCATCTCGCATAAAGTGATACAATGAGAGGAAACGTTTTCTACGGTGACGAATACCACGTGCCGTGACCTTTCTGGTACCTTCAGGTTCCCGCAGCTCACGGTCTGATTAAGCGCCACTGACAAAATTGGCGTCATGCATGTTGTCCACCTTAGTGGTGAGATCACGGTGAGAACAGCGTTTGCTGAATTCTGGATCTGGCAGCGTTGTTCATTTTAGACACTCGAACACACGGCACACGTTGTTCACTTTTGACACGAAACGCATGTCAAAACAATATCATAACGCCCCAACTAGTGGTGTAGCTCACCTCTCTGATGTCAAAATTGAAGCCCTCTTTCATGAAGATCGGCAGCGTGATGTTAAGAGCCGCAAAGAACCAGCTGGTGACGAAGTAACTGAGTGCGATGATCCACACCTGAAGACTGCCCATGATCGTGCAGATGGAGACCCGCTTTGCCTGGATGATACAGGACGATTAGTCGCAACATCAGGGGCGACGTTACCGGGTGTGCAGGTTGAGCAGCGCCGCTGGGTGTGCAGGGTATATAGGGCCACCGGGTGTGCAGGGTGGACAGCGCCATCGGGTGTGCAGGGTGAGCAGCGCCACCGGGTGTGCAGGGTATATAGGGCCACCGGGTGTGCAGGGTGGACAGCGCCATTGGGTGTGCAGGTTGAACAGCGCCACCGGGTGTGCAGGGTATATAGGGCCACCGGGTGTGCGGGGTGGACAGCGCCAACGGGTGTGCAGGTTGAGAAGCGGCACCGGGTGTGCAGGGTATATAGGGCCACCGGGTGTGCAGGGTGGACAGCGCCAACGGGTGTGCAGGTTGAGAAGCGGCACCGGGTGTGCAGGGTGGACAGCGCCACTGGGTGTGCAGGTTGAGCAGCGCCACCTGGTGGGTAGGGTGTGTAGTCACCGGGTGTGCGGGTTGAGCAGCGCCACCGGGTGTGCGGGGTAGACAGCGCCACCGGGTGGGCAGGTTGGGCAGCCGTGTGCTCCGCTGCTGGGACAGGCCACCATGTTTTTGCTTCTACCAAGACTACAAAATAGCCCCCGAAGGCCACGGCAGGCCTAGCGGAACTTCAGTGGCAGCCAAGTGGCTGCAAGCCCTGGTAATGTACACAGACGAGGTGTACTGATGGATAGGAGGTCGCGCTGATAAAAGGATTGGGTATAGTCGGGCGTGACTGTGTTGCAAAACGATCTTATCATGAATGAATAGAGATTCGAGTGATGTGAGCGGACAGAGTGGTGACAGCCAAGCCTTCGCAGGCAACCCCGTCATGGCCGCGAGGAACTCCCGCCCAGTAAAATAGGCGACTTATCTATATAGGAGGACATCAGTACCTCCCGCCGCAGCACGACCGGAACGCCGAGCCGAGGCTTAAGAAAGCTGCATCCATCCCAGAAGGGGGCCCAATTTGAACGAAGGGAGGCTCAAATGCTGTGAGGATTTAGCATGATGGAGAGCCAACATACTGTACGGGATCACTGCCATGGGCGAGAGGATCCCTGCCCTAAAACGCGTAGAAAACTTGGATGGATAGGGTCTGTGGTATCGCAGGAGGTCCTCTTCGTGATGGATGGGATCATGACGTAGGAGGGCAGAAGTCTCTCTTCAGGTTCCGGCTGAGAGGAGGCCTCTTACAGGATCGCAAACAGGTCCCTGTCACGACCGAGATCATGCTCTTGACGTAATCAAGAGCAGGTCCCAGTAGTATGTGGATGAGTGATGTAGACGGCTTGGATTATCTACGAGACTGTACGTTCCCTGGCAGCGTACTGAATATGTAGTATCTGATAAGTGCTTGCTTAAGCTTCCGCCTTCATTTCCGCAAAAGTGAGACTCGTCTGTGTATTAACGAGATGACAGATGATAAGGTAGGATGACAAAGCCATTACAGACAACATCCAGGCTGTCATGACCTGGGAGCTTCCCCTAACCCGAGGAGACCCCTTTGGAGGAGGAAGTGGAGGCTCGCCAATCTTCAGACAAGTCCATGGCACTGTCCCCGTCATGTGCGTCAAATAAAGTAAACGCGTCTGCAACAAGAACTGCGGAAGCTCTTTTCATATCATGAATAATTGCAATGCATAAAAGTACTTCTGTTGTATTTTCGAATTGATCGTAAGAGGGCAGCCAAGCGGAAAGCAGTCCCTAGACGCTTTACCCCGACTCTGCAGGCAGCCTAGTGGCAACACCTACCGGTGCCGAAGCCGAAGTCTGCACGTGAGGCTGCAACGTCAGGCACTTCCTCTCCGCCTCGCTCACGAACCGGTGGTGCTCCGGCGACTCGGTCAGCACGAAACAGGCAACCAGCGCCCATGCAGCCAAGGCAGCCGCTGCTCATGCAAATCGTCGGGTTAGGATCCGACTGGTACCGATGGCACAAGCCCACTGATAGTGGTGAACACGGGATGCAATGTTCAACCTTTTTTCTTGATGATAAGGCGCATCTCCGTCGTCATCATAATGCGGTGTATCTCCGTCGCCACTGACACATCATGTCAGCTCATACGACCGTTTAACCAAAATCGGGTGAAATTTTAGGCCTCCACAGCATAGGTGATACTGTTGCGCACATGGTAAGGTCAAAGGGTGAAGACAGCGATGCAAGTATTGTATCTATAGACGCCACCTTCACCATTCTTAAATATTTAGCCAAGTGTCCTGTTACAAACAAAGGGAAACAAACGAAACACACTGCGGCCGCCCCCCTCTCCCCGCCCCCTTCCCGAATCCAGCATTTCCCGTGCCCAGTCGCGGCCCAGTTCCGCCTACCGCTGACGTAGAAGATGGCCGGCCACCCTCCGAGCCAGCCGGACTGGCAGAACACGCTGCTCGCGGGAAACGCGGCGGCGCTGCCCAGGTAGCCCCCGCTCCAGGCGATGGAGAACAGCAGCGAAAACTCGCCGGCCGTCGACCAGTTGCGCAGAATCACGTTGAAGCTCGGGTAGTACACCGACTAAAGCAGAAAATGAGAAGATAGGAGACATTTGAACGAGGAAACACGCATTGAAGTCCAGTCGGCATTCGGAGGTAAAGGATGCAACGTGCCTTTTTGATTGCATGCGTCAAAACAAGCCTTGGGAACGAATGAGACATTCGCCTTGACATCATACGAAAACATCGACCACAAATAATAACACAACAAAAGAACACTCATAACCTGCACCCGGTCGGGTTCCCGGACAAACACCAAGGGGAAGGTGGCTTCCATCCCTGGGATCTCCAACTTCCAGACGCCATATAAGAAAAACAAACATACCGTTGTAAAGGCATTGCCAAATTATGGAGAATGCAACCAAATGTTCAACCTTAAGTCAAATGCGAGGTCACCATTGGTCACGAAGGGTCAAAAACTCTGTTATGATTTTATCAGCTAAAAACTACGTTGACACGTCAAGGTGGATGTTGCGGTCACAGAAATAAGTGCAAGGACTGTGAGGGTTTATTCCGGCCATTTATGTTCCCCCACAAGGGTCAGGTTAGATCAAGTCACAGTTCAAAATTGGCCTACCAGCAGCCTATAAGAACAATACGCTTTCACAATATGCTTCTTACTAAGTTTCTTTTACTAGACGCAGCTGCGGAACAAAAGTATTCCAGACACAATACCATTTTAGGCTGACCTAAAAGTCGTCTGACATTAACTTAGGCCAACTTTATAAACCGTCCGGTTGCAAAAAACTGAAGCACTAACCGGGTCTACGTGAACAGTATAATGCATTCAAGAGCCAGAAATAGTGTGTTGGGCACGTGTAGATACTCAACATCACCTAGCTCTTGTCTTTTTTACACATAGCCCCTTGTTACAAACTGAGGACAGACACGCTGATAATGAGATTACACGTCATCAGCCTTACAAACACGAAAAGGATGTGGCTATATGCGTCACACTCATTCATGGAGCCTCTCCGCTAATAACAACATAGGCCTTTGACTTTGGATAATCTCACATGACATTGCTTGTCCTCATATGACGCATTATGGCCTCAGTATGCATTATAATAATATTGCATGATGTTCTCAGTCAAGCATTCGAATTCTTCGTCAAAATTTTCCAGTAAAACTGCCTATTTTGAGCTCAGCATGTGTTTTGCAGAAGTCCCCCATAGAGGTAAGTCATGACCCGGGCCAGGACCATGTGCGTTGTGGTCATGGGATGGTTCTGCATGTGCGCTGGTACTCTTTTCTCACATATAAGCGCCAAAACAACACAAAATGCGTGAACATTTGCATTGCTTGCGAAAATAGCAAGAATTGACCCGATTTAAGGTCACCGACTTCACTTGCTTCCAAAGTCTGAAGTGTAAACACTGCAGGTACCGTTATTTTTTAGCAGTTAAGCAAATTTGAACAATGACAACTGGCTCACAACAAAGTTATGCGTAGTCGAAGTTTTTAGGACGTTGACATCTTTGATCTCATCTAGGTCACTGATCTTGGTAGATCAAAGCTTCAAGTTTGCCTCCAGGATGCCAAATTGCTAGGTGGCAGATGAAGAAGTACTGCAACTTTCGTGCTCCTGCAAGCGTTCGTCTTTGACCTGCACTCGGAAAACCGTGAGGGGAAGTCAACCCTCCCCACAGTCGGGTGCTGGGTGATAGGACAGTGACAGGAGCACATGCAGAGGTAAACTCATGCCAAATGGGCCGGTCGATTATTCGGGCCGGGTGTTGTACTTTGGCACGCCGTAGCCTGGACGAATCCCAAGTATTACGTGCTCATAGGCCACAGCTGTCATGCGTCCCCGGGTGTATCTATACATAAGCAAGAGAGACATGAAACTTCTGGTTTTCGGCATCGTCGCTTGGCATACGCTACGCTGCAGATATCTGACGCTCAATATGCCAGGAGATACCGGTTACACGACAGCGCTTAACCGGTAAACTCCTCGTCTACTGCACGCCAATCGTGTTCAGCAAAACAACTTTCGCCTTACAGCACAGGCATTGTGACGCTTGTATCTGTGCTGACCAAGTATCACGGGTGCCACGTGCCTCCCTCAGGCCTATGGGCCTAATGTCAAGTGTCAAATGTCTCCTTCAGGCCTTTGGGCCAAGTGTCAATTGTCAAGGATCTCTTTCAGGCCTTTGGGTCACTGAAAACACGCTTGGTTCAGCACTAGTTTATCCTCGAACACCCGCGACTAGTGGGTGTTTGATGCGGGTATGACTGTTGGCACTGGACAACAGTGTTGACATCAGTCGCCTGGTAACGAAAGTCGAAGCTTAGACAAAGCCCTTCTGAACTCCGGGTGCCCTACGACACCTCTCGGGTGCCCTACTACCCTCTCCCCTTTTATCCAGTATGCTGTCCGTGACCGTTTTTGGGCATCCCAGATCATGATTCAATACATACAGGTTGTACTTTGGCTGATTGGCTTTAAATGATGCCAAAATGTGTGGCCTTCGATGAACATTTTCTGAAAGCGTATTGGAGCGGCCTAAACGCTAGGCAGCTGCATTCCATCGCTGAGACGGCCTTTTCGACCGTTCTTGTTTCCGATGCAGGGTAGCACGGGACAAAAAGGGTTCCCTCTTTTAATGGGCCGAACCATCGTGACCCGAGTGCCCTATAAGATGTCAAGAAATCATGTCGGACAGTCCTTTCGGTGCATGCCAGATGGGCAGCCGGAAGCGACTCTCCTGTTCCCAGTGCTCACCGCAGCCATCCCTTGCATCACGCGGAGTATGACGATGCTGATGGGCTGCAGACGTGTGAACTCCGGGATCATCGCCAGCAGAACGGCCTGAGAGAGAGCGCTGCATATCGCTACCCGGTGGCTGGGGTACCTGGAGAGAAAAAGACACCCGACTGCGATATCTGACAATGGAACGGTACCGCGCTTAGATGTCTGGGGAGAGAGAGCGAGAGTGAGAGAGAAAGAGAGAGAGAGAGAGAGAGAGAGAGAGAGAGAGAGAGAGAGAGAGAGAGAGAGAGAGAGAGGAGAGAGAGAGAGAGAGAGAGAGAGAAGAGAGAGAGGAGAGAGAGAGAGAGAGAGAGAGAGAGAGAGAGAGAGAGAGAGAGAGAGAGAGAGAGAGAGAGAGAGAGAGAGAGAGAGAGAGAGAGAGAGAGAGAGAGAGAGAGAGAGAGAGAGAGAGAGAGAGAGAGAGAGAGAGAGAGGCACGAGAGTGAGAGAGAAGAGAGAGAGAGAGAGAGAGAGAGAGAGAGAGAGAGAGAGAGAGAGAGAGAGAGAGAGAGAGAGAGAGAGAGAGGGAGAGGGGAGAGAGAGAAAGAGAGTTGATGAGAAACGCCGGAGAGGGAAATGAACCGGGTTATTTGTTCGCGGTACCCGAGTAACAAGCTTCACACCGGGACGCATGACCGACACGGATGGGACACGAATTACCACTTAAGTCGCAGGCACGTCACGTTTAGCATGCCTGAACACGCTCTAATCCGCAGAGGGCGAACCGCGCGGCGTAGAAGAAACAATGCGTGAGACAGGCAACGAGGCAGTGATTCCGTAGTGTGTACACAAATTCGGGACCGAGGTGACAATGCTTATAGCCTGAGGAACATACGAATAAACGAAATACGAAAATAAAGGATGCCCTGGTCCGAAAGTCATCAAGTGACCTTGTGACCTCTAAACCAACAACACGCTGCGCAACTCGCGTTTAACATCGCTCCAGGCAACTTTTGCATGCGATCGAGCAGCGCTCCACGAACGCTCTGTTCTCAAGTGGGGATAGTGTCAGCCGCAGAGACTCTGAGCAGCCGCCTAGCCGCCGGTGGAGGCCAACTCACTAACAACAGCGCCAGCTCACCTATCAGCCACCCAGCCGCCGACAACCAGCGCCGCCACGTAGCCATAGAAGTAGGCGGACAGCACCAGGCCCTGGAACTGCTTGCTCCACTCGAACTCTCCCTGCAACCGTACGACGGCGGAGGGATGGGAGCACTGACACGTCTGGCGTCCTTGGTAAATAGTACCGCAGCGGTGTGATGGGAGCACTGACACGTCTGGCGTCCTTGGTAAACAGTACCACAGCGGTGTGATGGGAGCACTGACACGTCTGGCGTCCTTGGTAAACAGTACCGCAGCGGTGTGATGGGAGCACTGACACGTTTGGCGTCCTTGGCCGCGTCGTCGATATGACAGTTGTCCTCACGTGCGCACTGACGCGGTGATCGTCCTCTCGTGGTTCATGACAGCTCCACCCTTCTCACATGGTCGGTCAGGTCAGGTCAGGTTTACACGGTCAGGGTCAGAGGGCAACGCGTTGCCACGGACGCGGCCACCACTACCGGGTGCTGAGGTGACGCAGTGAGGCGGGCGGGATCACGTCGCAGCCTCACCTGGACCGGCGTGGCGGTTGCCGAGGCGGTGGCGTTGCTCGCGGCTGGGTCGTCTGGCACGTCCCGCACCATGCACAGCACGGCGAAGCTGGTCTGCACTCGGCCTAGCATGGCCACTGTGCCGCCCACCAGGCACATGAGCGTCACTAGCAGACGGCAGGAGGGCAGCAGGCGGTCTGCCGGTCACAGAAGCCGCGGTCGGACTCTGGCCCCGTCACGGGCCCTCAGTTCCGTACGGTCATTTAGACCACAGAGCCTACCACGGCCTGTGGCTCCAGTGTGGCGCTGTACTCTGTGGCTGAACTCTGTGGCTGTACTCTGTGGCTCTGTGCTGTCCCTGTAAGACGCGAGCTAGGCAGACGGCTGGGTCGTCAGGATAGGGACTGGTGCCTTCAGCCTTATCGGGTCCTCAAAGGTATCTCCGAACTGCGCGGCCGTCAGCGGAACATAAAGAAAGTTGGGCGGGGCAGAGCGGGAGCCCTTGTTGGTTCTGAAGCAGTCTTGGAAGCTTGAAGCCTGACGTGGCAGATGCAATGCCGGCGATGCCATATTTATCAGAGGACCCTCTTGTGCAGTAATTCTGCAGATGTGAACAACTCATATAATTAGCGTCGCCAATAGCCCTTGTCTTTGCATCAGTTATTAAGGACAGATGACGATTTATTGATTGATGATAATGATTGGTGACTGCTCACATCAGATGAAGCATTGAAGTTGGCATCAACATAGAGCACGAGACGGCCATGACATGACCGAAACATTTGGCGTCGGTTAAGCGTGACATGAAGATCCTTCATGATCAAGCTGCAGCTTGCTGAGCATGACGACACCTAGCTCTTCAAAACGATCCTTAGTTACGTCGTTACAGACAGCCAGCCAACACGCCAACAGTGCATCAATAATATGATCACCGTGCCTAAATACCGTCAATGAAAGTTAGTCCAGGTTTAGCCTGTGGCAGGTCGTGGGAGAACTTCATGATCTCGCAGCACCCTTTCAAGCGAACCGTGACACGCTTGGACTTGAGTCAGCTTTATACTGCTAGCGTGCGTATGCTGCGCAGAGGGAGCAAGAAACGTTGTCTGGTGTCGTTTGACCCCACGTGTCAGGCCAATTAAATGGGCGGCTTCAACTGATGTGTAATTCTTACAAGAATCCCAGGCTGCCAATGTGTTTCCTTGCGCGAAAAGTGACGAGACTGTCGAGGGTGCTGCCGGTTATGCTGTTCCAATGCATTTAAAACTGGGCAGAGCAGAACTGTACCGCAGGCTGAAGGGATGTAATGGAGGGTTCGAGTAATCCATGAAGAACATGGACCTGAAGGCAGCCGAAGATCTCTGGTGACCTTCTGCGGGCTATGACTATTTTGGGAGCCGTCACGCTGGCTGCATATGGGATTCTGAATGTCCTAGATTATTCAGCGTCTGATTACTCAGGCCTGAATGTCACAACCAGAACTCATGGCGAGAGGAACATTCGTAGTGCCGACATTTTGAGGTCTGAACACGTTTTACGAGTCATGGCACCAGTCAACTTCAGTGTCTATGAAATACACTGGAACCTTAGAAATTCGGCCCGCAATGGTTCACAGCTGACGGGCCTCCAACATTGCCCCGGTGCCGCTGCTGGCAAAATACATCCAGGCTCAGAGACTAGCAACTCAGAATTTCAGCCTTTTTCGAGGTCATATGTGGCCTTGAGACGTGAACAGCGATCGTAATGGTTTTTATCGGGAGGACTTTCAAATGAGCCTTTTTGCAAGAAATGATTCAGCGATTCGGAAGTCATATTCGCACGTGAGAAACAGGTAGGGCAGAGTTCACCATCTTACAAGGTCGCGTTATTACCTTGAGACCCCATAGATCCAGGTCAGGATTATCTGCTGCGAGCAGGTGTTAACATATACCCGGTATGTCCGTTCGTAAAACGCGCCCAAGAACCAAGATCATTCTCGCATGAAAATCCGTGCAGATATTGTATGGCAGACACGCTTTCATGATCAGCGGCTTGGTGATACGTATACCACGTTCAGAAATAAAACAAAGTGCCTAAAATGTTCTTCTTTCAGGGTAAAGGTACGGCTCTCCGACATACGGATTGATTGCAGACGTCGGTCAATATAATTTGCAACAGACAGGCGTTAACCTTGACCTGGTGCGAAGATTCGCAAAACATTCAGGGACCTCAAATCGGTATTAACACGCGCCCGGGTGGCCGGCTAGATACCCTCCGCTCGGGTGGGGTGGGGTCAATGTGAACCCCGCTGAGATTTCGGGAACTAAGAAAGCTAGGGACACCAAATTTACAGCAACTGTGTTGAAATGTACGTCAACTCACTTATGTCAAAATTTAAGATTCCCAGGTCATGACCTTCGGGTCAAAGAGGCCAAACAAGGTCAAATTCCAGGTTGGTCTCCAGAGTGTCCCCAGGACCTAGAAAACCGTTTCTAAGCAAAGAGTCACATGTTCATTTAGGGTCGGTGACTTTGACCTTTTGAAGGTCAAGGTGTCCAAAATAATGCAAGATTGTTTTGAGTTTTGCATTTGACTAAGCGACAAAGATTACGCTAGGCAGTATGTTCCTAAAGCAAAACGTTGACATGGGTCATTTTAAGTCAATGACCTATTCTGACCTCTAAGAAAACCATGGAAGATGTATAATGCGGTTCCTGCCATCAATAAATTCGAAATGAGCGCCAAAAAGCTATCCCATACAGCAAGCCCTACAGTAACAAAACAGGTTGGTTTTAAACTTGGTGTGACCTTCATCCCTGACATTAGGTCAATTTAATATGCTCATTCAACTGTTGTGTTGCCTAAGAAAGCATCTCAGAGATGGATGACTTTGTCTAACCCTCCGTTGTTGGATCAGATTGAAGGATTCCCTAGACATTGCCTTCGCTGAAACAATGGTCTGGTTTTGACCTGACATAGGTCAGTGATCTTACAAGGTACATCCAAATCTTTAATGTCAAACGATTTGCTATTCAATTGTCTACAGCTACGCAAGATTTGGCGCGGCTGCGCCGCGCCGTTCCGAAACCATTCTGGAAAACTTCGGGGGGGGGGAGCAATTTGCACCTCCCTCCAACCCGAGTGCGTGTTAAAGGTGCGGACGTCCCTCATCGTCAAGTGATGACATTAACACATCAGGAACACAGCTCACAATGTCATTGCCAATAGTCGTAGCCAACCAAAAGCACAGTTTTCACGCCCACCACGTGTCATGCCTAACAAAAAGTACATGGGGAACCTAGGTTCAAAAACCAGTACATAAGGGTTTGAACTTCTTCCAGGCCAAGCTGTGCTTGCAGACGTGGGCAAAGGCATTTCAGATGACATGAAACGGCTGCGTTTTTTCATTCGCTATTTGCGATGGCCCACGAAGCATACCGGGCATCAAACCAGAACCTCGGATTTTACTTTAACATGAAGTCTAAACGGCGCCATAAAACAGTCATTGTGTAGAAAGTCACGTTTCCTCTCACTTCTTTCAGGCATAAACCCCTCAAAAGTCTCCGTGGCAGTTTTCCTATGAGACCTTGTCGTTTTTGTCGGATGCAGCAAGCCAACGGCTTCCTGCTTATTTGGATGTAATCTGTGGAAAATTGGTTATATCGATGCGTTGGCAGGCATGGTTGCTAGAGTACACAAATATAGAAATTGACAAGTAGCACATTGTCGTCAAGAACGGGGTTCCGATAATGACGTGAAGTTCAGCATAACGCGTCTATCATGCATTTCTAGAAACAATGCGACGTCGGGAATATCCGGAAGTTACTTAGGCGTTTGACATAAGGGCATGTTACGTACTACATTACGTTGTATACAACGTGACGCTTCATATAACAAGCAGTTGCAACTAATCTGGTATAAAGCTAAACGACGTTGAAAGGAAACGATAATACGGTCATGAAGTATTACATATTCGAAGTCGCATTCGGTTATGCAACGACAACAGACGGCTGTGCTCATCTCTTGAAGACTGGACAATGAAAACGGATTCTTTCCGTCAGCTTGCACTGCATCTCCGCGATCTTTCTGGGAGTGGTGAGGTTACATCATCTCTCACTCACGGGGCCAAACATACCGAACAGTTGTTGGGACTATTTCACGTTAGTGAGGCTTCAGACATATCGGAAAAGTGCATATAAACAAACAAACCACTCTGACCTCATTTAGCACCAATGACCTAAGTTACGTGTCTGTGCTTGGCAACCGCTTGATTGAAGAGCCCAGACGGCGTAGTGCACTTCCATATTCCTCCTCTTCATCTTTATCCAGGAGATCTCTTTCCACCATATCTCAATGTCCGTTTTGTAAAGGCTAACGAGCTGCTATTTTAGCATCGTATGATAAATACACCACGTTATCAGCCCCACTTTATTAGCATTCATAGGCTACACAGCCTTTATCTTTAGAAATAAGACACGGGGCAGGGCCCGGTATGGCGAGAAGCTGGTAACAAAACCCGCTCCTGATGACCATACTCTCCTTCCGGCATTTCCTCCGTTCCGGTCATGGATAGTCCAGCCCATGCAACAACACAGATAAACCGAGGTCTATTTGCCACGTGCGCTAGCGTCATGCCAGCTGCGGCCCTGCCGCGGTTGCTGCCGGTGGTCCATACTCACAGCGGGGCCAGTCGACCCCCTCTTCCTTGATCTGGTGTGCGCTGTCGGTGGCCATCTTGTCGAGCCGTGTCGCCGTGCTGGGAGGACGGGTGTGCCGGCGGCCGCCGCAGGGCTGAGGGGCGGCGCGCCCGCGGCGTCGCCGCAGTTTTAACCACCGCCGGCGCCGCGTCACGTGACGCCAGACCCGCGGCCGCTGGCGGACGAGGTCGTCGGGCACCCCGATTGGGCCAGCGCTCAGCAATCTCCGTCGTCCATATCGACGTTTGGGTCTGCGTCAATGTTCACTTTGTTTGAGGCTGCACCTGCAGCAAGGGCGTGAGGACAGCGGAGACGCAGACGTCCTCCAATTAAGAAGGTACACGCCCAATGACGTCACAGCGTAAGACGTGGGGTCAAAATAGCTGAAAGGATGCTCCCCCGCACAACCTTATGGTGACCTGCTTTAGTGAACCACTGACTGCCCTCCGTGAGTTCTGGCTGAATGCCACTAGTGCATGCGTATACTTGCTCCCCATGTTCCGCATAGATATTCGATTACTTATCATAAACCATTTTTCACATTTTAAATGCTCTTTCGACAAGCATGTGTGCGTGATACATCCCCATTGGACACCGCATCAGCCAGATGCAATCCACGAGACTTGGACTCAGCAAGTCTTGTCGTTGTATTGGCTGCTGCCATGATACATTCCTGTCACTACACCAATGTTTGATGATTCATTCGCGTTGGTGAAGCGATGGGAAGTCAGAGAAGCGCGGAAGTATCGTTTGCTTGTGCCTGGGGTGTTCACCGCCCATGACTCAGATTCAGATCCAGATCATATTCAACAGTAATTCATACAGCGTGGCTATGATTGCCAGTAAGGCGAATGTAAAAGACAATAGGTCAATCGCACAGAACGAACCCTGAAACCCTGGGCAAAATGCAATTGTACACATGCTGCAGGAGTTGGTAATACTGCTTCACTAGCGCTAGATGACGTTTTCAGCTGTGGTTTTCAATCTTACAGGTGCACAACCTTGCGCAGATTAGGAGTCAATCATATACCTAAATGATCTTTGACCTCCAATGACCTGTGACCTCAAATAAACTGCTGTTTCAAATTACCTGTGACCTCCAATGATGTGATCTCCTGACCTTTTCCCTGCTCACCACCCATTGACAGGTAACCAGGAGTGCCTACACCTGATCCACTGCGGCACGGCGAGTCCTTCATCAGCACTAACTTAGTACGGTATAAAAGTGCAAGAAGAGGTACCTTCTACTGAATAATAAAAAAAGGCAATGCAATCAAGGAGGCGACAAATATAATAAGCAATACCTCGAGGCAACATGAGGACAGCAGCTAATGGCCGAGGGCAATTGGTCTTAAACATCGTTGCCATCTAACGCAAGACGGAGAATATGAGAGAAAGTAGGTGGTGCCAATTATTACAACTAAAGCTCTCGCACCAATAGCCAAATTGATAAGATAGTTGTAATACCCTTATCCCTCAAATAAACATCCGGAGAATGGAGATTAGGTGGATTGATATTTCGGCAGCATGTCTTTATCGAAACAATAGCAGAAACGAATTCAAAATATGCCGGCGAAATATCAACCCATAGATATCTTCATTGTCCTGTTTTTTTTTCTCCGAGGAATAAGGTTATTGCTGCCGTCTTATCTGTGGGAATAATGTTCCCTCGCAAACGCAGTCAACGCTTACACAATAGCTAAGTTGGTTAAAAGCTAAAACCTGGCGTTTGGCTAGCAGAAACTTTCGCGCTCGTAGTCACAGCAAGGCCTGGTATGGTAAGTGTGCTGTCCCCTCCTACATCCCCTGATGAAGCAAGCTTACTTGTCAGCAGGGCAACAAATGCGCAGAGGCAGTCATCAGGGGGGGGGGGGGGCAGTCATTTTATTTTTAAAGATACATGGCTTCGATGGGGGTGGACACACCAAATGCATGAAAAGCATACGGCGGACGACAGCAAAAAAAATATTACATGGTCCGACCAATGGGTCGCGAGCGTCCAACAACGCACGGGGTTCTGAGCCCGAACCTGCCTAAATGAGCTTCATGCGAATGGTGGGGTGAGCTGCACTAATCAGCGCTACACGCGGCCGTTGCGGTGAACGCTGCGTCGACACCCGTGCAGCGCCGCGTCCTCACCTGCCGTGGGTCCGGCCTGACCTGCCTGTGCACGCTGTCAGCCCGGCAGCCTGCGTGTTGGCCGGTCCCCGGGCTGCGGTGCCTGTCCGCCCGGCGCGCCTGGCAGCGACCCAGCGCCCGGGTGACCCAGTCCCGGTGTTGGCGCGGGCAGTCACAACCCGATCTGTGTAATGAGCCGACCATGCATCTTCTACTCGAGGTGCGTATGCCCCAAGCTGTTTAGTCTCCCTATGGTGAATTGCTGGTGGCATTGCGCAACGACTGCATACCACAAATGCAATTGGTTATGTACGGTGGTTATGGTTATGTATGTATGATGGCTTGTGTGAAAGAAGCCTTTACCGTTGATAATTAGCTCCGACCTATAACGTTCGCACCCCCAATATTACATAACGCACCTGCAACAGTAACTCATACAGTGTGGAGCCTGGAACGAATATCACGCGCTGTGCACGGTGACGTGACTTAAGCGTGTTGACATAAACGCAAGTCATGGCTGGTCTCAGGAAGCGGCTGTGAGTAGAACAATGTCGCTTACATTCGTGGCTGAGCATGCCGGTGCACTTGTACTCGTGGATGCGCATGTGGCAGCAGGGGCGGTTAAAGCGAAGCACATCGTGCCGAGGCGTGTAAAAGCCTGTTAGGTTCAGAAGCGTCGTAGAGCTAAACGAGGTATCAGCGTCGTAGCGTGGAGCCGTGCTTTTGCAGGAGAGTCGCGCCGAACGGGACATCACGAGCCATACCAGTCGAAACTCTGATGCTACGTGAATCTGGTGAAAATGTTTGCCATCGTTGTCACTTTGCGCTGGTAGTGCCGCCTAACTTTTTCGGGCCTAAGCATCGTGTCTTTTTGAGCTCCATGAGAAAAGCAGAGCCGTTCGAATCTTCTAGCTATCTGGGCCCTCCTGTAGGACCCACTGATTCCAGCATTGGCCAGGAGAGATAGGCGCCGGCCCCTATTGCCCTTTTGCATAAAAGGCTGCAAAGCAGCCTCAGCCTTCGCTAGTCTCCAGAAATTTTGATCGAAGTCACCAGGTCACAGCACTTCAACGCCAACACGGTTGCAACGATTGGAAGCCATGTTCATAAGATCAGGAGGAACGTAGGCACACATTGATCAGTTAAGAATGTCCGTCGCAGGTGTATAAATTCGAAACAGAGAAGCCAACTTGCTTTACACCCAAGGTCCTGTGTGAATGTCTTACTATTTACTGTATGTAACAAGTGAGGTATTACATGTACTTGTGTACTATTGTATCTAAACCTAAACGAGGGCTGCAGGCATGTAATTCCTTTTATGTTAGTTCATCCCGTCTCTGCCCAATTTCTTCAAAGACGCGCAAAATGTTGTAGAAATGATGATCAGGCATCCCAGCACAAACGCCACAGTAACTGTAAAATTTCGCATCGAAATGCTTGACCACCTCCACATGAACTAGCGCCTGTCGTACCTATGCCATCGAAACATGCCACCCTATCTTTTCTAAAACTGCGAATAATCTCGGGAATCAGCGCAAGGTCTGTCGCAAGACATGTAAAGTGAAGCAAGCTAGGCCTGATGCTATCTTGATCCTGCACATCGCCGATAGTCTGCTCGACAATCTCCTAATTGCTATATGAAAGCCATCGTCGAGGACGTGACTTGGAGCAGGCATTACGTTTCAATAGAATGATATGTGTAACGGCATAACACACGCACTGTTTTCAGTCAACAGAAAAAGTAAGAACGTTCTGACCCAGCAGGTCGCGGAAAGCCTACCGTTAGGACTCATGAAAAATGTCAGACTTCTCCATCATCTCCCAATGCGTTCTTTCACGGGTCATTCAGCGAGGGCAATTCTAACTCCAGCGCCGGCTCGGACATCTTCATCGGGTAGAAACGGATCTTCCATCAAACCTGTTAACTTGGTCTGACTGCGGGTGATCAAGTTCACTCATAACTATGAATGAAACAAGGTCTCTCATAACTATTAGTATGCTTTTCAAGTGCAAAAGGCTGTTCAAGACGCCACAAGTCTTTGTTAAGAAAATATCCTCCTGAATGTCATGGCTTGCTTACGTCGTGACATCTTGCAAAATATTGACTTAAAGTCAATCGACGACTGTTATATGTGTAAGTCGCGCTCACGAACGCGAGTTATGAACGTCTCGACAAATGCTTTTTCGGCCTTGATCGCGGCATGGGTTATGGATTGACATGATTTCAATCACGGTGCTATGTCGTCAGGGATGCCAGGGTGACTTCAAAATACTCTCCTCGATATACCTTTCCGCATTTTCGCGGGCGTGTATCTCAGAAACTAGAGGGGCTTAGGTCTTCATAATGGAAGGATTGTGAACAGCACCGAAAAGTCTGCAAAATGGTCATTTTGCTTCAAACCCCATAGGAATGTGAAAAACTCCCTTTAGCTTTAAGGTATCCATAATACGACACAGATGCCATTTTATCAGCCGGTCCAAACGCAGAAACTCATATATTGATCAAAAGATAAATATTTCGAGATAGATATATCAAGGCGACATTCCCACGTTGGGAATTCATGGGCGTATCCTGGAGATAATAACGGGATTATCAACAAATTCTCCAAGTGGGCTAGTGAAAATAGTCAGACAGTGCTTTGGCTCGTTGCAAAAAAAATCAGGGAAGATTTAGCATGGGCGGAGCTACGGTGCTTAAAGAGGAGGAAAAATAGAAGAATGATTGAGTAAAACTATTATCAGCACAAAATTTATTTTATCGAAACTTTTCCCATTTTTGCAATCGCCTTGTTACGCTGCACCAACTTTAGACTCAGACTCACTGCTCGTCCCCAACACTCAGTTTGAAAGGACACCGCTGTATGAGGCTCACGTAAAACCATTTGCAATGATTGCATGGAACAAATTGTCATCGTACATGGGGCTGGACAGTGTACATCGTTCAGTTAAACCTTAAAGAGAATGCTCCACACTGGAGTTGAGGCAAGCATCGGATGTGATGAAATATGCTCACTCCTGGCTATTGGCTTGCTATCAAGCATTAGAGGCTGCCCTTGACAACCAGATTTCACCATTTGTTAAGCATT